TCTGAAGCTAATTAGATGGGGAATTTTTTTTTTGTTTACTCACTTTAAATTGAGTATATGTTTCCCTCCTTTTCTTGTAAGGATTGAAAATCCTGTATTTTACATATCCATGTAAGCAAGATCTTGAGTTTCCAAAATAGCGTAATGTACAAAGAAGCATACTGCATCATTGCTATTTGATCAAAAATAAAATAAATTTCATAGAGAAACCGTGGGTGTAATTAAACTACATATACGGATTTCTAACAAAACAACACGCATAGGGTCATGAGCAAAAGGATGAGTGTTTTGGAATGTAACTCAAAGAAGAGGCTTGAGGGCACGACAGTTAATTAAAGGGCTCCCTTAATTCCCCTATAATATTGCGTTTTCGAAATTACTATTCCTCGTAGTTTTATTTGTGAAAATAGAACTCCAGAGTGATTTCTTTTGACTCTTTTACCTCGAAAACGTCTATTATCCATTTCCAATGATATATCGACTTCCTAAGAAACACAAAGGTCATTTGTTAATGTGTATGTTAAGCACTAACCCAGTTATGACTAGTCAATTCAACGAAGAAAAAAAGGACTTAATTGATGTGACTCGCAAAATTCGGAGGGAGCCCGCCCCAACCCCAAAATTTATCCCCCACCCCTCCAAATTTCGATCTCTCCCCCCCTCTGCCAAAACCATCGCTGCCCTCCTCCTCTCGCTGCCTCCCTCCCTCTCTCGCCGCCGAAACTAGCACCGACCTCCCTCCCTCCCTCTCTCTCGCCAAAACCAGCGCCGTCCTCCTCCTCTCGTTGTCGTTGTGGGAGCTCTCTCGCCGCCTCCCTCCCTTTCTCGTCGCCAAAACCAGCGCTCCCCCCTTCCTCTCCCTCTCTCGTCTTGTTATATAGCTAAACCTCCTAAAGTTTTAAACTTGTTTTTCTTATTAATTTTGATTTAATTCAGCGATCTATTGATCTTGATTTTCGTCTTGTTATTGATTCATTTGAAATTACAAGAAGTGAGAGGTAGATTTCGCCCTTTCTCGGAGATCACCGGAGTCCGCCCTCGCTATAAAGATCAGATTGACTGGAAACCCCTAACCTATTTTAGAACTATTTTCATTGTATTATCTCCTCATTAATATTCATAACTTGGCAAACTAGCTGATTAAAGGCATTGATGTGGTCTTGAATTGCAATACCTTCTTCCACCTTCAATGAATAAATTTCCATCTTCAAACACAATCGGTTGGTCATCGACTTTGACGCATAAATCCCCTCGAGCATTTCTTACAGCCCCCTTGGTGTGGTCTCCTACTTAACATTGTACTTGATCTCAGAGGCAAGCTCCAAACAAATTGTGATAACCGTCCTCTTTTGTATGGAACTCCATTAAGCATCCTTCAACCCTTTCGGTTTCTTCTCCTCCAAAGCTTGATCAACACTCTCCTGCACAAGAATATCTTGAACCGTACAATGTCATACTGTAATGTTTATCCAATATGCTCTCACTTAAAACTGACCAATCAATTTCTTGGCGGGTTTAAACACACAACCCGTTTATCCTAAAATCCAAACCCACAAAATTCTTTTCCTCTTGTGGTCAAGGAAACCCCTAACCTATTTTAGAACTATTTTCATTGTATTATTCCTTCTATACCATATATAATCATCTAAATTTTTTACTCTATCAATTTCTAATCGTATATTAGAGGGAAACGTATGCTAGTGGTGATATTTAAGTGAGTGCAGATGTTAGGTTAGGTTAACTCAACCATGGTAGGAAAAAAATAATTGAAACATTAACAGAGGGACAAAGTTGAATAAAACATCAGATTTGAGGGACTAATGAGTAAGTACTGAGATTTGAGAGATTGATTTATAACTATGTATGATTTAAGGGATTTATACGAAATTGTCACAAATAAATAATTTGGATGAGAGAATTTTGCCAAAGTTAACTTGGATGAACAATACTTAGCTATGGTCGTCCCAATTAACTACAATATATATGAAAATTTATGGGAAATCCTTTCTCCAACAAGTAGGGGTGGGCAACGAAATGAGCTGGCTCGTCCCGCGAGCTAGCTCTTGCGGTCTTAGGGACGAGACGAGACAGCCCACGTCATGCAGCGAGACAAGTGTGCCATGTGTATCGCTTTTTCGTGGGCTTAGACCTCTGCCCAGCCCGCTCGCGAAACAAAATTAAGTGAATAGGGCCACGACACGTGCTAGCCCGCCCAATCCACCATGTTTTATTTTTATTTTTTTAGATTTTGTAAATGATAGTTTTGTAAATAGTTTTTAAGCATTGTTTAACACTTTAAAATTGCATGTAACTAACTAATGCAACCATTATGAAAATAAATAATAATTTTATTAAGTAAAATTGTATATTTGTATAGAATGATAAAAAGAAACATCTCAAACACAGAGATTTTACGTAGTTCGGAGCAAATCCTACTCTGGAGGCGTCAATTAATGGTTCCACTATTTTAAAATATATGAATAAATTACAATCAACTTTAAGTAAATAAAAATAGAGAAAATATGTCAACTTGTAATAGGGTTCAATCTTCTTCATTCTCATGGTCTTCCTCCTCAAAGAAAGCCGCACATCCTCAAAAGACCCCTTTAGGTAGCGGGGTCATGGTAGACATCCTCTTGGACCCAGATGTCAGCTCTTCTATGCTCATGTGGTTATTCATTGTCTATATTATGTATAGCTAAAGGTCCAAGGGATGAAGTGATGAAATCATGAAGGGGGAAAAATTGTATGTGAGCTAACGGAGTGGGTCCAACGTGCCAGCTCGATTACATTTAGGCCCAGCTCGCTCGCTGGGATTTGTGGGCTGAGTGAGCTGCCAGCTCGCTTGTTGCTAGAGGCCAGTGTAGCATCTTCCCATGGCCCACTATTGTAGTGGGCCGAATCAAGCCCATAACACGCCGAGCCTGGTCGAGCCAAACTCAAGAGCGAGCCAAGTGATTAGGCTCGTGGGTCGACGTAGCCCAGTGCCCAGCCCTACCGACAGGTTTACAGCTTAGCATAGTGAGTGAGACTTCATTTGGGTGATTTAGTGAAGTGCGGGTTTGAGTCCCCACAAAAACCTTTTTGATTCTGCCTTGTTCATTTTTGAATCCAACCATTCTCTAAATTTGACTAGCTTTTTCATCTATAAAGCCAAAGTTCTACTCCAATTTTTTTTATCCCACCCACATTCAAAAAATCTTTTATTTATAAACAAAGTTTTATTCCTATTTAATTTTAAACACTCTTGCTTCTGGAAAAGAGTAATTTGTTTATTGATCCATAGTTTTAACACCCCCCCATTTATTTTTAACTCCACCTATTTTCTGAAATCACTCTGCACTTAAAACTCTTCATAAAATAAAAGTTTAATTACTTTATATTTTAACAATATTATATATGGTATCTGTTACTTTATAAATATGATTTGCTATATATTTTCTCCTAAGGGGCTGTTTGGTTCGTTTCCTTGATATAGAGAAATGCAATTCCATGTAAACAAACACAAGTTTTGAGTTTTCCAAACATTTCCAAGAAATAGATTGTTTTGCTTTGGTTCGCACATAAAAAATTGTGGGAAACCAATGTATTTATTTTTCTTGTGTTTGGTTCACATAGAAAAAAAAGGAAAACTTTTGCAAACAAAGCAGAGAAGGAAAAAAATCTGACGTGGCAGAGTTTTCATCAATTTCACTTCGTTGGGGAAGGAAATCGGAGAGGGAAAAAATCTTAGTTGGCGGTGATTTCAGCAGAGTTTTCTCTCTTCCATCCGAGCGAACCAAAGCGGCACAAAGAAATGGACGGAAACAAAAAAAAGCTGACGTGGAGGGCTAAATATCTGACGTGGAGGGGTTTTCTGAGTTTTCCACCCCTTATAATAGCGAACCAAACAGCCCCTAAGTAACTATTTGGTTTATTTCTAATATCATGTTATTGCAAACTGTAATTGAATTTTTTTCTTCTATATATCCAAAGTTTTATCCTCATTTATTTTTAAAACTCACCCACTTCTAATATCACTTGTGCAAATATGAGCAGATGGAACCGTTGGGGCTACTTTCCAGTTTTTCAAAAAAAAAAATAAAAAATTTCAGAGGAGCCCGCCCAGCCCCCAAAAATTTAACCCCCCCGCCCCACAAAATTTTTTTCGATCTCCTCCCCTCTGTCAAAACCGCCGCCGCCTCCTCCTCTCGCCGCCTCCCTCCCTCTCTCGCCGCCGAAACAGCGCCCCGACCCCCTCCCTCCCCTCTCTCTCCCAACCAGCCCCTCCTCCTCCGTTGTCGTCGTGGAGCCTCTCCGCGCCTCCCTCCCTCTCTCGTCGCCCAAAACCAGCGCCGCCGCTCCCGTCCTCTTCTCGTCTTGTTATATAGCTAACCTCTAAGTTTTAAACTTGTTTTTCTTATTAATTTGAATTAATTTCAACGATCTATTGATCTTGAATTTGTTCTTGTTTGATATTCATTTGAAATTACAGGATGTGAGAGGTAGATTTCGCCCTTTCTCGGAGATCACCGGAGTCTGCCCTCCGCTGTAAAGATCAGATTGACTGGAAGAGAAGTAATTTTCCCTTCTTTGTGCGGGGGGGGGGGGAGGGCGGTCGAGTATCTGTATCTCCAATGTCTGTTGATTTATGTTTGCTTGCACTTTCACATGATAGTCGTGTGGGCTTGCTCCATTCATTTCAACAATTTTTGAGGTAAGGGTAATCCTCCTGAATTATGAATACAGTTTCTTTCAGCACAAAAGAATTCAATCATGAAATCTGTACTAATACTTCTCTCTTCTTAAACACTGGAAATAAATCAATAGAAGTAACTGGTAAATTAGCAATGCCTTGTTATGGCTTCATTTACTTTTGATGCTTATGTTTCTTTCTCATTGGACAAGATGTTATTATGACTTTGAGATTCCTTTTTAATTAAGCTCCACATTATTTCAGACCTCCCATGTTGCAGCTCGGTATGGAGAAACAACATTCCTTTACCATATTGTTGCAAAATGGAATGCTGACCCAGATACCCCTGATAACGATGGCAGAAGCCCTTTGCACTGGTAGTTTATTTATCTTTCCGTAGGGTTCCGCCAGTATTTCATTCTGATGATACTTTCATTTTCTTTCTGCTATGGTTTTCTGGATGTGCAAATATTTATCTTTTGCTACTATTAAGAAAGCCTTTCAAACATTTTCAATGTATAAGACTTGCAGAAGCACATAGTTTTCGGTTGTTTACCGATGGGAGCATGAGAATTTTCCGTCAGGTTAACATATTGAAAGTTTAAAAGAAATTTGAATTATATTCATCTGAGCGTCGAAGGAGATATTCCACACTTGGCGACCATAACAACCATTGGAACATCTATATCATATATTTATGCCTGTAAAGTCTCCAACATCTCCATTTTATATTCTAAGCTTCCTGTAAAAAGAAAAGAAATTACCTCATCATGGTTAAGAAGTATTCTTATTTTCAGGGCAACGCTAGAAGGTTGTTTGACAGACGTTGTGATGGAAATAGCCCGCTTGGTAGACTATCAAAATTAGGACTTGCACCTGCATTGTGGTGTGTAATTATTTCACTGCTTGTTACCTACGTACATTCTGTGCTCACAGGTATGTAGCCATTCCATATTTGTCTTTTTTGAAACATTAAACATTGTTTAATTAATACTTGTAATTTGCCTATCATCTCTTTGTTTTTGTTCAACATCTTATTTTCCGAAGTTGACGGCTGGGTTTGGACTTCTTGCTTGGTTTGGGGTTTTATTGGCAACTGTTGGACTCGCTATGTTTTATAGGTGCAGTAGGTATGTTTAAAATCTGCCTTTTTTCTGAAATCCTTTTAGAATCCGTATCATATTCTGTGTATCCAGTTGCATTCCTAAAATTGAGCAAAATGTCTGCTTACTTTATAGACAAGTATCTGAAACCTGTAAATTTATCCAGTATTTCCTTACAAAAAAAGTTCCAAAGTTTAGCCAAACCATACAAGTTGATTGTCCACCACCAATTTTGGTCATGCTTGAGCCTTTTTCATACTCCTAAAGATGCCATGAACGTGAAATATTAAAATCTTTCCCAATTAGTTTTTGTGTACTAATTTTATATTGAGCATCTTGCAAGCCTAGTGCTTATTATAGACAAAAACAAATTTATAATTGGGTCTTCTAAGCTCCAGGGGTCAATGTAGATGCTTAGACTACCAAAGTGGATGGTGCATGGGAGTTCTTTCCATTGCACATTTTCAGTCTTGAAACTGAGCTAGTGACTAAATACTAGAGATAGGCAAAAAGGTTAGATGTTTTATTGTTGTTGTTGATATTTTTGTGGGATGTATATTAGTTGATATATTATTAGGTCTTTGTTATTATGTAATTGAAGCTGCTAGCAGGCAAACAGTCTGTTATTATGTTCGGAGAGGCAAATGATGTTATTGGCTACATGAAGGAGAATGATTGTAGGCCTAGTGATGTAACATACAAGACGGTCGAAAGCTAGCTCTACAGGTACAGGGGAAAGTTGATCTGCAGCAGTGATATAGGTACTATTTTCAATTCCTTGTTTGCATGTTTTATATGTCTTTGTAGTTTGTTCACCAGCTTTTTCTAACACAACGTTAGATATATATTTGAAACTGATGCCTTATATTGTGGCTTTGACGTTGTAATAAAAGAACAAGACAATAAAGAGTAGATTGGAGAGAAAATGGAAAACACAAGGTTTTATATGTGTGCACCAATTTTGTAAGATTTGAAAATAATTTCATTCATGACTCACCTTTTGTTACCTTATATATCTTGATTTATTTACTTAAAACTAAACTTGTGAATTTCCCAGTATTTACTTAAACTAAACTTGTGAATTTCCCAGTACTGGGTTCTAGATTTCAAAGATTAACTCAGAGTCGCGAATACTCATGATAATTAAATATAAACAACTTTTATAAAGTCATGCAATTCCATAATTTATACATCAACAACTTGAAGCCAACATTATCTTTTCACATAACACCCGCTGGAAAGATCCTGCTAACTTACGATATTGTCAAGTTGTAGAGATTATTTATCTGTCATTTCTTTCATGCCTAAGGAATTGGTCCATCTTGTTTCTAAGCTCATTCTGGCTTTGGTTGCTATGCCATCGAATTTCAATTCCAGTGCTACTACAATAAAGTTCTTTTAACTTATGTGAAAAGTTATAGTTATTTTTCTTTTAAGTTTTTTCATAGGGAGTTTCAATGTCCTTAAGTGTTTCATAAAGGATGAGACAGAAGATTATAAGTAGCAGTTAATGTGCTTGTAATCATCTAAGATGTTAGCCGCATTCAAATCGAATACACAACAAAAACAAATTTCCTTGATTATTTGTTTATATACATTCTGGCAACAAATCAATATATAACAAAGAATAAAGGTATTTTGACCCTGTACACAAGTTTCCGAAGATCATAATATCAGTTATTACATTTGTTTATCAGCATTCCTTTTTCTTCTTTCCCTTGAAAGTACTTCAGCGAAACGAGCAAGCGCTTCTTCATTAGTTCCTTCGCCATCGACGGGCTCATACCGTCCTGTCTCCAAGTTCAATCTAGATACCGGCTTCTTCAGCAGGTCTTTGCCAATTTGAACAAGGTTTTGTAGATTCTCCTTTGTCGATACATCGACCGACGATGCACTTCCAGTTAGTGTATCGTCATGTATCATAGCAAACATTTTGGTTCCATCAAAACACATATCGAAGGACACATCAACTAGGGTTAAATTGGGATAGGCCCTCTGAACTATTTATCAAATTGAACTAACAACTCCTGTAGTTATAATGTTGCAGACAGAACCCCCGAGTGTAAGTTTATTGACTCTTTTCCGGGGCTCTACCTGCAACAAGAGATTATCACTCACGGGTTCTGTTTGCAACAAGTACGTGTTTAAATAACCGTGTGTGACTGCTTTTCATTACAAAAAAGCTATTTGGACCGCGAGCCAAATAGCAGGGCTCTTTTCATTATGAGCCATGAAGCCTAAAGCAGTTTGATGGATAGTAGGCGAACCCTATTTTTCATAACTGTAGACTCTGTAGTTTAGTTTATGATATTCTGTTGTAGAAAAATTCTTGGGTAACCTAGACTAGCTTCAGATTTTATAATTCAACTTGCAATTGCCTTACTCATGGCGAGCTGTTTGGCACTGGTGTATTTATTGCAGGAAGGATCCTGGTTTTATCAAAATGAATGTATGTGATTCGGAGAATCTCAGGGATGATGTAGGTTGCTTTATCCGTGGATTAGTTCAATTACCTTTTCTGTCTATCCTTTTCCTCAAAATGTATATCATAAACTTTTTTATTTCCGAATCTCTCAAAAATTATTAGCTGGCTGTTTTTGTCCTTTTGGTTTAGCAATGCACATTCTTTCCTAACTTTATTTGGGCTTGTACTACTTAAACTAACAGCAAAATGAAGTAACATATAACTTGTTAGAAAAATTAAACAAAACTTGAAGGCTTTTACCTGTTTATGCAAGTCTCACTTGATATAGTTACACATTTATTTTGATGTATGTGATCCTACATAATAGCCTACTTTATTTTGCTTATTAGTGTTTTAGGCTATAAATCATGTACTTCCAGGGACATGTAGCCGTGTCCAAGCTAAACTGATTTTTTTTTGCTTTAAGACACAAAAGTCTATTATTTCTGTAATTAGGTTCATGAGATCAAAATTTGTCTATTAGTTAAAAACGTCTAAATTTGTTTAGGTTGTAATCTATTTACCTAATTAATTAATAAGTAATAGTTAAAGAAAGAAGTGTCCAAATTGCTTTATGTCCCTTCGTGGAGTTCTTATGTTGTCCAAACTCATTCAAAATGCTTAGCCCTGAAGACAAATTAGTGTTACTTGAATTTGTTGACAATTCCGAGTAATCCTTTCATTTTTTTCTAACAATTTTATTGTTGACCATCACTTGGCATTTTCATCGTGTTACATAAACATACATATATCTTGTTATTACCCACGTGTACATTTCACTATGACCTGCTTTTTAAGCTCAAATTAATATGTCGTGTCCTGAGTCCATAGCCATGTTCTCGGCAATATATGTTAGTGTTTGTGTTACCAATGTAATCTTTCAATGGCATTTTGTAGGAACCTTTATTGAAGATGGAACTGAATAATACTGCTTTACTGACCGGGAATTGGTCCCAGCTATTGCTACATGCAAGGTGATATTTTTTAAAATCCTATACTTGTGTTGGTGGCAAGTTTTTTTTTTTTGCAACTTTGATTCAAGTTAGCAAAATGATTTACAACCTTGGATTTAATGCTTTCACACCTTTTGATATCTAGATAGATTGGAAATGGAAAATTTCCTCGTTTGCCATTTTTTGTCCATTTGACACCTTAAATACAGCATGAGTAACTAGTGATTTAAAAAAAAAAAAACTGCAGGAATACATGCTGTTAGATAACACTATCAAAGAAAGGATGTCAGGAAAATTTAAATTCTCAAGCTTAGGTAATGAATAAATAATAGTTGCGTTCATCAACTTGATTCTGAGACACTTTAGAATCATCATTTGTAACTACTAACTTAAATCCATAACCAACTACTTATTAATCTTATCTAAACAAATTAAATCACATCTCAGTTATCCTAACAACCTACAAGTAAATTGAAGGGTCTTCATTTAAGCTAACCAATTAGTACCAATCTAATAAATCAATAGAACTCGTTATCTTTTCGTTGCAAGTGAGACTGCTCCAGTCCAGATATTCTCCACAGAATGTACAATTACATTTAACCATTCTTCATCGCATGGTAGGTCAATTTGCTTCAAAATTCCATAATTTTTATAGTTCTACTGTGGCTCAGTACATGAGACCATAACACAAACATCTGCATAAAAAATTGTTTATTAAGAAGCTGAATATATTTATGTTGTAGAAGAATGCGGTAGATTGTTCATTTCTTTGAGCCTCATGCCTAAGGAATTGGTCCATCTTGTTTCTAACCTGATTCTAGTTTTGATTACCATGCCATCTAATTTCAGTTCCAGTGCTACTACAATAAAGTTCTTTTAAGTTATGTGAAAAGCTAAAGTTATTTTTCTTTTAACTGTTTCATAAAGGATGAGACAGAAGATTATAAGTAGCAGTTAATGTGCTTGTAATCATCTCAGATGTTAGTCGCATTGAATCGAATACACAACAAAAACAAATTTCCTTGATTGTTTGTTTATATACATTCTGGCAACAAATCAATATATAACAAAGAACAAATCTATTTTGACCCTGTACATTGTACACAAGTTTCCGAAGATCATAATATCAGTTATTACATTTGTTTATCAGCATTCCTTTCTCTTCTTTCCCTTGAAAGTGCTTCAGCGAAACGAGCAGGCGCTTCTTCATTAGTTCCTTCGCCATCGACGGGCTCATACTGTCCTGTCTCGAAGTTCAATCTAGATACCGGCTTTTTCAGCAGGTCTTTGCCAATTTGAACCAGATTTTATAGATTCTCCTTTGTCGATACATCGACCGACGATGCGCTTCCAGTTAGTGTATCGTCCTGTATCATAGCAAACATTTTGGTTCCATCAAAACACATATCGAAGGACACATCAACTAGGGTTAAATTGGGATAGGCCCTCTGAACTATTTATCAAATTGAACTAACCACTCCTATAGTTATAATGTTGCAGACATAATCCCCGAGTGTAAGTTTCTTGACTCTTTTCCGGGGCTCTACCTGCAACAAGAGATTATCACTCACGGGTTCTGTTTGCAACAATTAATAGAACCCACAATAGAACTATAGGGCTCCATCGCAATTAACCTATCGACGTATTGATTATTTTTACCTGTATGCGAAGATAGTTCTTCTGAGAGTGGAGTGCTTTATTTTTACCTGTATGCGAAGATAGTTCTTCTGAGAGTGGAGTGCTTGAATAACAGTGGATGCGTGGATATCGACCAAGTTAGAGCTTGCTTGACTGAATATGTCGATGATTGGGGATGCGCCTTTGTTGTGTATCCACTGGAGGACTCCCTATTTAGCAGAATCTTTGGCGCTGATTCTGTGTGTTATTTTCGCTGATCCAGTGCCAAGAGAGATTACAAGCAATTTGCGGAAACCCATGGGCTTGACGGGGGAAAAGTCTGGTTTCTCCTTGAGAATTTCCTTTGTGGCGATGTTTATCGCTTCTAAAGTCTGCATCTCACAAAATATATACAAGATGTTAGAAATCTACACCGCAGTCATAAGTCACAACAGAGGGTGTATAGAGTTTGCGTTCTGTGTTCTAGCACGGGTTATTCCACACAACAGTGCCTTTTTTTTAACTTTAAAACTTTG